ACTTGGCGATCCAAAAGATCGAAGAGAGCAGACACATATATATATATATTGTATAGTATAGTATAATACATATTGTATATATATGTACTTATATGGCTGTGCAATATTGTTTGCATTTGCTTGCCCGTTTGTTCCATTGTTTCTCTTGAACACTTTGACGTATGTGTGAGCCCCCATTTTATCCTGTTTTTTCCTCAAAGTTTGCTCAGGAAAGGAATCCTTTCCGTGCGTATCATGCTGCATATTATTGGGTGGCAGTATGTGCATACTGTGATGTAAGCTTGACAAATATTGTTATGTAAGCATGACTATTTAATTTGTCAAGATATTAAAGCATTCACTACAGAGCTACAGTCAAAGGATTTGGGAAGATGCCAAACACAGAGGATTGAGTGAATAGCAGGGTGTCTTCACCCCTTTGTGTCCGGATATGTTATTACTGCGTTGTGGACTTCCCTTACTTAGCTCTCTAATTATGTGTTAAACTTCTACTAGACCTATGGGTGAATCAACCTGACCCTGAATCGAGCATACACAGGTCTGATCTGTGAGGAGGTGGTGTCTCAAGTGCACAAGAGTGGGACAGGAAGTGAGGTACGCCAGGACTCCCTGAAAAGAGTGGCTAAGTTCAGGGGTACAAAGGGTGAACGAAGATGAACGAAGTGGGTTCCCCAAAAGTTTGCCCGTGCTGAGAAGTGCCTTGCTCCAGGTCGCGTGGGTTTTATGATGTTTTAACACTTGGTTGGCGAACTTGCGCGTGTATTCTCAGTCTCTGAGTCTGATGGACAGGTTTGACAGGTTTGATTTGGCACTGTTTCTACCTGAGCCCAAGCTAGAGTGTCCCTGGTTCCATTGAAAGTGGTCATCCACTTCGAAGTTCGTGGGACGAAGTTCAGACATACAACTTGTTTGGTTTGCAATCATTCCATATTCTTGTATGTTTGTTTTTATGGGCAACAGAAGAAGGAACTCGCTGTAAATTTGAAACTGGTCCCCAGTGACACGGACAAATCAAAGATATATAGAATATAGAGCCAGGATTCTGGTTCCTTATATTGTGGCTTGTCCTGTCCCAGCAAGCAGACAATTTCATCAGCCCAAGACCTATGTGGACATGCTTGAAACATTTGCTTCTCGGCAAAGTGACATTTAGGGTGGGCCATTGGTAGCCACGCTTCCTACATCTTCATACCACTCCATCCACGATGTTCCTTCTCTTTTCCCTCGACAGGCCTTTGGGCGATTCAAGTTCATCGCGCGAAAGACCTTCAAGGCAGGATGTGTGACTGGTGTGTGGTTCAAATCAGCGACCGATGGTGTATCCTCGGACGAAGGCACGCAGGCATGGAAGTGAATGGCACGGCCCCTTTGTGTGGCAGAGTAACACATGCAGTTGTGAAGATCCAGTTCTACTGCTCATGTAGACCGGGATCCATCAATTCAAGCTACCAGGGCTACCTGTCATTTGAGTAGGACCCGGTACCCTACAAGCATGTCCTTTGACACGACCAGTTTTAGCTGTTTAGCCTCGAAGAACTGAAATCTTGGACTGTTCCAAGTTCTCAAGTTCTGGGAGTTTCATGGAGTATCTATGGGTCCTTTAGGTCCTTGGAAGACTGTGATGGTTATGACCTGCAAGACTTGGACATCCATGCACCTGGGCTGACATACTAGGCAAGCTCATCTGACTGGCCATTGGATCCAGGTGGCTCTCCCCAACAGGTTGAAGAGCCTCGTTAGGAATTGTAGCTCTCCCTACCCTTCCAAATTGATCCAAACGGGATGCAGGCGCAACATGTAGCTTTATGTGGCTTTCGTGTATAGGGAGGTTGGGGTAGTTACCTGCAGTAAGTATACTCTATGTCGCCGGTGCTGATTCTTGGACTTGTACACCAAAATCTCAGAACCCCGACTAAAGACGGTGTCCCTTATCCATGCCCAGACTCCTTTTAATGTCAAGTTGTCGCCACTGACAGCTCAGGGCCACATCAATGCTGGCTACGCCATCACGCGCCCCGGCTGTATTGGCGGCATGTAGCAACATCCTATATAGTTCAACCTATTTATGGAGGGGTCCATGTGACGTCCATGTGGGGATCCTGGTGAAATCTCAAAGCACCTTCAGGATCTTCAAGTTCGGACTGTCATCCTGAAACCAAGTCAAAACACCAGCGGCAATCAACATTGTTGATTGATCCAATCCCTCTCCAGTAGATAAATTGACGGCCTCCACATGAAAGCAGCATGACATCGTGTGTGGTTTTCATATATGGGACAGAACCTACACCATCCTACTAGCCTACAACCATGAGAATGTGTGGAGAGCCTCTTGTGGGACACTCATGAAATGGATTTGTCGTTTAGAGGGGCATTCCCAGACGAGAACCCCACGAGAACGCCAAACCTCGGAATCATTTTCATAGCTTCTTGTTACTAGTAGTAAGGCCACGAGCCGCGTTCGTAGCTTCCTTGCTCCGTTCGTAGCGTTCGCATGGACCTTTCATGGAATCCGAGCCATAGCAACTGGACCCCTCCGTTTTGGTGCACAGAAACGCACCCCAGGCCCAGCAGCTCCCCAGAAAGGACGCCTATTGTCCTTCAGTCGAGGTATGCCACATACTGTCACATCTCACAACACTCTTCAAGTGCTGCAACCTACCATGGAATCCACACCACATCCGAAAGAAACCGCTTTCACTTTAAACCCACGAAGACCAACGGACCGAGGCCCGCTTCGGCCTCCCGGTCCCTTCGGCCCCGTCCCCGAGGCCCGGATGGTCCGCTGATGGCCGCTGGGTGATGTCCGGCGACGCAGATGGCAAGCTGTGGCCCCTCGGAGCAAGGGGCATGAGTAGTACTCGTAGCAACCAAGGGTACCTACATACTAACAAGCAGCTACTAGTAGCTAAGGGCATCGCTACTAGGAACAAGTGCATCGCTATAAAATTAGTAGATAAAAAATGACTGCTACATACTGCTACTAGTAACAAGAATCTATTATAGTAACAAGGGCTGTGGCCCCTCGGAGCCGAATTCCGGTGCTTTTCACGGAGGAGCGAGTCGCGGAGGGCGGTCCTTGTAGCGGGTCGGGGGTAGCGGGTCGTCGCCATGGGAGGTTGCGGTGTTGTCCCCGGAGACGCCCAGAAAACTTCAAACGACTCTGGGCGTGTGCCAGGTGTGTTTCTTCTGGGAGGGGGTACCTACTGCGAGAGTCTAGGGCCTTTGGGAGGGGGTACGTACTCGAGCTTTTGACCTGGGAAACCATTTGACCTGGGAATTATGGGAATTGAGACCAGAGGCCGAAATGCTGTAACGGCCACGGGTGCTTTTGGCAAAGTAATACAATGGCATATATAGTCAGTAGATGTCAGTAGTATATGTGTTGTTTTTGTTTTTTTTTTCATGTGTGTTCATTGATTATTTTTGGAAACGATGTTATATAATCGATAGGGGTTGAACGATTCAGCTGTTTCATGACAAAGAAACGCCTTCTCATGCTTTCTTTCCCGAATCGGCTGAGGGCTAACCATGCAGTTTGAGACATGGCGTAAGAACATGGCCCACGGATGCCCACGGTATGGCTATTCGATTCTTGATCATTTGACACCCGGACCAGACTCACAAGGTCCAGTGGAGGTTCCACTGAAGTTGACGGGCAAGGGCTAGACCCAAACTAGGGAAACTCCGCAAGGTAACTCCAATTCGGCCCTGCCCTTCCAGTTCACCATCGAAAATAGTGCATGGCATTCATATTGTCATATCATTGAATATTGGCCATGGATTTCATTTGGGCTCGTATGCTGCTTTTGCGTTAGGCTCGTATGCCATGAGGTTTTGGGACTGGGCCAAGTGCAAGAACTACCGCGTGCTGAAAGCGCACGACGGCGTTTGCACCGGAAGCCTGTGGACCGGAGACCCAGCTGATAGGAAGACTAACATGGAAATTCGGTCACCGTTTATAACTTAATTAACTTACAGTGGGTTCAGAGTAGATGGCACAATCCCCAAAAGGTGGTTTAGAAGGACCCGCATAAAAAGACTTTTTTGGGATTGTGCCATCTACTCTGAAACCACTGCAACTTAGGAGAATTGCTAGTAGATATATAAGTGTTTTTTTTACATTCACTCCACCCTTGAAGACATGTAGCCTAGATGTTGCCAGATAGGAAAGTAGGCTCGGAAGATCTCGGGGTTGCCAATTGGTTGTCCCATGAAGAGGGGAACTCTTGATCAACCTTGCTCATTGATTTTGTGGCCTGTCCCTGACAGGATGTTTAAAGTGTCTAATTCCAGTGGCTTGATCTCGGCTCACACACTCTCTAGCTGCTACATCCTTAGGTCCACTTTCTTGGCCAAAGGCAAGGCCCTGTGTATCAGGGTCCAAATTCAATCGTGGCGATACCTTTCGAACGTCCTTTGGGTTCGGCGTGCCAACGTTCAAATCCCGGACCAAACCCGGAAAGGCGGCAGACCCGTAAGTGGTCCTAGCGGTCCTAGCGCTGAAGCATGCTGAAGCTGTCCACTCAGATTGAGGCATCGATGGTTGTCGCACGATTGTGATCGATTGCCTCCGCTGATGGGCACCACCAGACGCACCATCATGCCGAAGAGGAACAAAGGACGCTACTAGGCGCTCCTGGCCTTACTACTAGGAGCAAGGGCATCGCTACTAGGAGCAAGGACGCTACGAACGGGGCTCTTGGCCTCGCTAATAGGACTCCTGAAACATCACGCTGCGATTGAGGCCGTTCGCAACTCAAGGTTTCGGTCCGAACCTCCAAGGATTAGCCGTTGAAGAGAGTGAGAGAGGGATGGAGAGTATACATATATATATATATGAATAAATAGATATAATATAAAATAATATACAATTACAATATGTTAAAGTATTATACTTGTATAGAATGACGGTACCCAGCCTTTGCTTGCCATTTTTATGCAGTGACTTATATATAATTGTATATAATATATATATATATATAATGACGGTACCCAACGTTTGTTTGCCATTTTTTGGAGTGACCAGTGAGTGCGCTACAGAATGGAATGCCAGGTTTTATCATTTACTCATTTTACACCTCAGGTTGGACCATCAATTTGTAGTGCACTTTGACCTTCCTGTTTTTTGAAGATGATATATAAATATATATGTGTGATTCAGCGGTGTTATTTTATAGTGAGTGTTTTCTGGCTCCTTGCACTTTATAGTGCAAAACTCTGGAACCCCCACATCATATAGCTACAAAATGAAATTGCAAGGTCTCCCCGTTATTCCAACGGGGAGTCAACTGCTTAATGGTTCGGAAACATTCCGATTCCGGTTTGGCAGAGAGAAGTGCCATTTCCAAGGTGTTTGGGTTAGGCACCATCGGTGCCAACGTTACGTTACTGTGAACTTTCGATGACTTGAACGCCCTTCGTGTGGGTGTGGAAGAGCGGAATTGGATAGGCTGAAGTGCAGTCAGACTGTTCGAGATGGAGTGACGCTTGACAACATACAAAAGAAAGTCAGTTGTTGAAGGGTCGTTGAAGGGAAAAACTCGATGCAAACCACCTCGGAGTAGGAGGATATCATAATATCATTAGCTTCAGGATGTCTTTTGCACTCCGGTTGGATTCTGTGTGCCACCACTGACCTTCAGTCTGACGGTGTGACGACCTGATTGACCAAGTGATTTCGCACCAAGTGATCCTGCGGATTGAACTCCTCCGAAAGAAGTTGCAATAGCTGCGGGTCTTCACCGTCTCAACGCGACCAGAAGCCGCTCACCAGACACGGGTGTCCTCCCAACGAGTCCGACGAGGTTCGAAGGGAAGGTCTCCCAGTCCGACGTGCCTCCCGACGCGTCTCCTGAGGCATCCCATCCAGTGTGGCCCTTGGTCAGTGGGGTTCGGTTGATCCGTCATGGACGGATCTCTCGATGGGTTGGTGGCTGTTTTCCGGTGTGGTCCATTCGGTGAGACAACATAATCCCGTTATAGTAAGACTTTTCGACTTTCTCCCGTTCAAAACATCGAATGCCGTCATTTGTTCCACAATTGTGAAGAGGGTTTGTGAGTTGTGAGTTTTTTCAAAGGGTTTGTGAGTTGTAAAACAGAACTCAACAACACGTGGCTGGCTCACATTCCAAGCGATGGTTTGTCCACGGTTTATTTCGCCTGTGTCGCCCAAGTAGAAATAATGAACACAGGACCTCGGATGTCAAAGAGCTATGAGTGTGTTTGAGATTGTATGCACAGATCCACTAAGGTCTGGCTCAGACTTGATCCAATTGACAGTCCACTGGTTCCATACCCTTAGAACCAAAGGCTCATAAAACGGTTCAGCTGGTAAGTGAACCATGAACTTCACTATTGATGGAACAAATAGGTCATAGGTCCTAGCAAGGGAAGAATAAAGTTGGATATCCTCTATTTGCTTGGTATAGAAGTTCTTGTCTCAAGCTTACGATCCATTGAAGAAAGCCGCATCTTTCGACGAACCTGCGTCTACTATCAGAACTGTTGGAAGGCTGAATCTCCAAAACCCAGAGGCAAAAAGCAGGAGATAACCGAGGAATACCAGGGGCCCGATACAGTAGTTCCCAGTTCGCCATTCAAGTGCATAGCCTGGGATGTACATCATGTATGCCATGGTGTTCACCGACCCTGGGGATACCACCATGGAGGTGCCAATGATATTCTTGAACAGGCAATCGATTTAACCTTTAGTACAAAAATTTGGTCAAAAAAACACAATCGATTTAACGAAAGTTTTAGCTTGATAGGTTTTGTACTAAACAGTTTTTGCAATTTGTACAATAAAGTACAACCTCGAGCTATGTATCAAAACCTCGAGCTATGTCGATACGCCACCTGATTCCTTGCGGGTGATACGCCACCTACTTGAAGACCATCCTGCTTGAGGAAACCACCCAAACTCGAGCATTGTACAATGGCCTTTGATCATTGTAATCGTAGGGCAAAGCCTAATCAAACAATACCCTGAGATTCCCAGGATGCGGTTTGATTTCCAGATTTGATTTGATTCACCCATGTGCTTCATTCTAAGTCGCTGGCCTCCAAGAGCTTGGCTCAAATCGCACCAGTTTTGTGGCCATGTCGTTGGCCTTTGCACTGGCGCCCAGCGCCACACCAAGTAGCCTCCCGAGCCATAGCAGCCCGGGAATTGTTAAAAGCTGCAGTTTCAGGATCCCTCTATATATATATATATATACATATAGATTTAGGGACATTAAGGATGCAAAAGCAATGACCGGCCTCATCGCCCTTTTCTACTGTGACAAGCTGGAGTCTTTTGTTGGGGTGGCCTGGTTTCTCTTTGATTGATTCCCGAGTCAACCTACCATTCTAAGTTTTGTCTTGTGCTGATTGAAACGGTAGGGTGTCCATGGTCCACTCACTGAAAGGTGCAATAGTCCAGTTTCTGATGTGTTCCTCAGGTTGGCTGTCTCCGACCTATCTAGAGAATCTATATACACCCCAATGGCTTCTCCTTGCTTATTTATTTTGTCGCGAAGTTTGCTCCTTCCCGGAGCTACTTCTTAGGATTGATTCACTGTTGAGACTAGGCCTCAAAGAGGTTGATAGTACAAGCTGTTAGAAGCACAATGCAAGTACGGTGGGTTGATACCAGAACTTCGGAGGGTACATGTCTAGAATCTAGATACCTCGAGTCGAGGCAGGTAACGGACACAAGGCAGGATAACGTTCCAAATGCTCCTCCTGTAAGTTGCACAGCACTTTGAGGCAGCAGTGGCAGTCATGCCACACCGCTCCAACGAGCGCCGAGTGCCTCTTCGACCGCACTTGCAGGCGGCTCGGATATGGAAGAAGTCTTGGGAGGGTCACCTATGACCACCCTGTTTTTCCATGTGTTTCTTCTTGGTCTTTGGCAGGTGGCGCGTGCTTCGCGGCCGCCTCGGCCGCGGGAACCCGGCGCGCAGCCCGCGTGTGTCGCCGCGCCTGCGGTGGGGCAAGAAGGGCGCCGCGTCGCCATGTTCGCGCCGTGGCGGAGAAGGCTCCAGCGGTGACGGAGAAAAAGGAGGCCTGGAAGGAGTATGGCCTGAAGTGGCTTGGCTTGGATCATCTTGGAGCCGTTTACACCTGGTGAGAGGTGTGATCAGTATGATCCCTCCCGGAGGCAGCACCCCTTGAACCCAAATACAAGATTAATGTTGGATCTTACTGTAATTAGTAAGTGACCCCCCTAGCAAACAATCCAGGGGGTCTGAAGAGTATCACGGCCACAAACAGTAGTAGTAGTAGTAGTAGTAGTAGTAGTAGTAGTAGGAGTAGGAGTAGGAGTAGGAGTAGCAGTAGCAGTAGCAGTAGCAGTAGTCGTAGTGGTGGTGGTGGTGGTGGTCGTCGTAGTAGTAGTAGTAGTCGTAGTGGTAGTGGTAGTAGTAGTGGTCAGTAGTAGTCGTAGTCGTAGTAGTAGAAGAAGTAAGGAATTGAAAGGGCAGCTATAGCAGAACAATAACAAAGTCGTATTTTTCCCGTATGGCTCCAAGCTTGCTTATTAATCCCACCCCCTAAACAAGTCATGCTACATACTATTCAAATACCCTGGGCTTGTGCACTACCCCCTTGATTTTTTTTGGAGCCATGAAATCGTTGAGTTTTAATAAGCGGTTTTGAATACGATTTCGAGGTTAGGATTCTATGAATCAAGCAAACCTCAGAAGAGTCAAGTATTGCAGCAACAGCAGAACAATAATAAAGTTCTATTTTTCCCGTAGGGCTCCAAGTTTGCTTACTAATCCCACCCCCTAAACAATTCATACTAGGGCTTGTGTACTACCCCCTTGAAAAATTGTTTGGAGCCATGAAATCGTTGAGTTTTAATAAGCGTTTTTGAAAACAATTTCCAGGTTAAAATTCAATGAATCAAGCAAACCTCAGAAGAGTTAAGTAAGGATTTCAAAGGGCAGCAACAGCAGAACAAAAATAATGTTAGATTTTTTC